GTAACTTGCATGGCTCTAAAAGTGTGGTCCCAGCCTGGCCGGTGTGTCTCGGTGGTTGAGCATCAACCCATGAACCAGGAGGTCACGGTTCGACTCCTGGTCAGAGCACATGCCCGGGTTGTGGGCTCCATCCCCAGTGTGGGGTGTGCAGGGGGCAGCTGATTAATAATTCCATCTCAGTATTGATGTTCCTATCTCTTTCTCCCTCTCTCTTCTTCTCTGAAATTAATAAAAATATATTTAAAAAACAAATAAAGTATCTATAAAAGCGTGGCCCCAGCACAGCAGCATCAGCTGCCTGAGGACCTGTTAGACATGCAGAGTCTCGGGCCCCATCCCAGAATTCCTCGTTCCGGTGCTGCTTCCCTGGGCGAAGCTCCTCCTTTGCAGCCCCACCTCTCCGCAGGCCCTTTCCCTCCCTGGCCCCTTCAGGATGGGGAGATGCGGCAGCTGCCACGCTGCTGGCTCCTCACTCATTCACATGCCCCTTGGTCTGCTGGGAGGGCCTTCCAGGTGCTTCCTGTTTCCTGCCGGGATCCTGATGTGCAGATGGCTGCTACGCAGGGCACACCCTCGCCAGGCCTGCCCATCCCGGAGGCTGGCCTCGGCCCCTGCTGGCTGTTGCGAGCTCTTGACTTGGTTACCTTTGCGTTGGGCTGAGTTTCAAGTCCCATCTGCTGGCCGCCAGCCTCAGGGCCAGGGGCCAGACGCCAGGGGCCAGGGGAGGACCCCGTGCAGACGTGCTTCTGGAGGCTGTGGTAAACAAGCCCTTCACTCTCACAGGCAAGGGACGTCCTGGTACCTATTTCTCTGGTCACATGATGCAGGGCTGAGGCTCCCTGCTGACGGTCTCCTAGTCCCATGGGGCGGTGGGACTCTCACTGGGTGCAAGATTTTTGCAGAGCCTGTGACCTCTGACCCCGACATCCAGCTTTCCCAGGCTGTTTTCCTGGAAGGCACTGACCTCAGGGGCTGTGGAAGCTCTGCTGCTCAGAGATCCCTGGACATTCACCCCTTTCCCTCCCCCCTCTCCCTCCTGAGGTCTGCGGGCTCCACCCTCCTCCTGTGCACGTCTTCCTCGGTCCCTCCCTGCAGGGGGGCAGTGTTGCCTCCTGTGGGCTCAGGGGCACAGTGGATCTGTGGGTACCTCCCTTCCTGGTAGAAGATGCTGACTTTTGTACCTTCTTCCTCTGAGTAGCTCACCGTGAGCCAAAGGGCATCAGATGCCCATGGGTTTGGAGCAGACAGTGGAGGTGTAGGGCCCCCAGGCACTGGCCCCCAGGGAGCCCCTGACCCCCTGGAGCTGCCGCTGGGAGCACGGGACTCCTGGTGCTGAGCTGTCCCAGCTGCACCACTTGCTGGTTGATGCAACTCCTTCTGGCCCTCTTGTAGTTAGCACCGTTGAAACATGGCATTGGTGACTCACCGCTCACAGGCAGGAGCATGGAAGGCTCATGTCACACGTCTAGGAAGTGAGGGAGCCAGGCCCCTGCTCTGAACCCCACACACCACCCTCCCTTCCGGCCCTCCGTGATAGTGGTCCACGCAGCCTCTTCTCTCCTCCATCAGCCTGCGGAGGGCCATGTCCTGTGCCCCCATGTGATGTGTGGAGATGATGATGACAATGAGGGCCACCATCTCCTGAGCACCCACTCTGCTCCAGGTGTCGTGTCCCAGCTCTTTACTCGTGTTGAGTCTTGACAACATCCCTATAGGGGCTGTGCCCATTTCACAGTCCAGGAAATGAAGGCCCAGAGAGACTGGGGACTCGTGGCGGGAAGTGACAGAGCCAGGATCTGACCTGACTCCAGAGCTCAGGCCCTTGCTCACTGCTATCCTGCCCCACACACCATGCTGTTGTGTGAAGGGGTGTCCATGGCGACAGCCTGCACTGTCATAGAATGGCTTCCCGTTGTTTGTCTGACCTGGAACGTAGATGCTTTTACAAGTCGGACTGGAGTGCGACTCTCACCGTGGCTGCAGGTTAAAATCGCCTGAGGAGCTTTGGTGCTGGGCACCACACTGACCAATTACACGGGGGCCTGTGTGGGTGGGTCCAGGGCTTCCCGGGGCTGAGGACTGCTTTGCTTGGATGAGGTTTAGGATTCTTCTCAGCTGTCAGGTTCCCCGGCTCAGAGAAGGCAATGTGCTCCGCTCCACGGTCTAACTGGCCAGCCTCACTGTGAAGAGATAAAGGCATTTGTCTTCAGTTTTACGTCCAAATGAAACTCCCTAGTTATTGATCTGTTACCTCCCCCACACACCCAGACTAGGGATTGAACCTGCATTGGAGGTACATGCCCTTGACTGGGAACTGAACCTGCAAAGCTCTGGTCCATGGGCCGACGCTGTAACCACTGAGCACGCTGGCCAGAGACTGATTTCATTTGTTTATTTACTTTTTAATAAAGGAAGGGATGCAAAAGGCAAAAGTGCGTGGGGCCACTGCGGTTTGAATGCAGCCCCGGGTGCTGGTCTGAATCCGGCCATTAAAACCCCCCCTCTCTGACTTTGAGAAAACAATATGAGCCTTAAATAAATGTAAGACAGTTCCTTCGCAATCCATCCATTTGCGCTCATCATCTGCTTTCATTTTCTAAACCCTCCCTCCCAGCAAGCGTCTCTCAGCAGGGGATGACCTCGGTGCCACGGGCTTGCTGTGCGGCTCAGGCTGGCACTCAGCGCCCAGCCCACCTTCCGAATCTGTACAGGGAGGCGAGGTCCTGCGCCTCAGTGTAGAGCGTAGAGAGGAAGCGAGCACAGCACGCACAGGGGTGGGGGAGGGGGGGGAGGGACCCATAGGAGCGGTGTCTGCCCACCTGTGACCCGTGACCCGGGAGGGATCATATCAGAGAGGAGGGTTCTCCTTGGCTTACACTCAAGGCCCTTCGTGACCGGCCTCGCCTCCCTTCTCGGCAGCTCCTCCCTCCCCCATGTCTGCCTTGGCCTGTCTGTGGGTCTGGAAGGAAGTTCAGGAGCCTAAAGGGGCTTCCAGGGACCTTCTTAGACAAGAACTTAGGGAGCTGAAAGCGGACACAGGAGCTGACAATGCTGGAAGCTCCCAGGTCTTTCTCACCGCCTACCTCACAGCGGTTCCATTCTGACCCAACATCTGTCTCCTCCTGGGTCGGCGGAAAAAGCCTAAACCCGGGCTCGGGAGCTCTCTCTGGGGGCCATCGGGGCTAGGTCTGGGGCCAGCTGATGCTGTAGGCGAGGCTAGGGGTAGAGCAGCAGGGAGGGGTGGGGACTGTGGCAAACTGGAGGCCTGTGCCCAGCTGGAGGGGGCAGCGCCGGCCCGGCCCTGTGTGACTACTGCCGTGGGTGTGGGCCCAGCGTGGCCTGCACCTCTGGTTCAAGAGAAAACCAGAATCTGGATTTGTAAGCAACCGTTTCCCTGTTGTAGGGCCCTGTGTGGGCCAAACAAAATGTGTTTGTGAGGTGGGGTGTGTGTGTGTGGGGGGTGTGCTCCCTTTATAAGAAGGGGCCTGGAGGCTGGGCCATGTCTTACTCTCGTGGCATCCTCGGTGGCCAGCGCAGGGCTGGGCATCGAGGAGGCCTCCGAGGACTGAGGTTTCTTACAGGCACAACGTTTGGGTGCCAGGCATCCACTCACTTATTCCTGTTTGCTCACTGCTCACTTGTTCATTTATCCTTATGCCCCTTCAGTAAGTATCTGCTGAGAACTCACTGTGTAGCAGGCTCTGCTCTAGCGGGAGGGTCCAGTGGGAGGAGATGGGGAGGGTCAGGGGGGAGTGGATTCGTTATAACATCCTGGGAGAGTGAGGAGGAGGGGAAGGATGGAGCATTCGGCTCTCAGGGGGAAGCGCTCCAGGCGGGAGGGGCAGCCGGTGCCAAGGCCCTGAGGCAGGGATGTGCCTGGCACGTCTGAGGGTCGGCAAGGGGGCCGTCGTGGCTGGAGGGGAGAGACCCAGAGGGAATTTAGGACGGGTGGATGAAGTCGGAGAGGTGATGGGGTCAATCGCCTGCGGCTTTGTGTGCCACGTGAGGACGTAGGTTCTGACTCTGAGCGAACTAGGAACCCTAGGAGGGCTCTGAAAGGAGAAGCATAATCTCAGGTTCTAACAGGCCCCTCTGGCCTCCGTGTGGATCAGGGAAGACACAGAGGGACCAGGGCAGAGTCTGCGACAACTACCAGGTGGGGGTGGTGGTGCTGGGCCGGGCAGGTGAGGCCCAGTGGTCGGGTTCAAGGGAAGCCGGAGCCCCAGGCCAGCTGTGGGGGTGTGCGGGAGAGGGAAATCGAGGCTCTGGCCTTAGCTCCCGGGCGGCCGGGGTTCCATCCACCCAGCTGGGGATGCCCTGGGGACGTGGCGCCTGCCTGTGGGGCGTACGGCGTGCGGCCGTCCACCCACCAATCACACGCAAGGCAGGTCCACCCACCAATCACACGCAAGGCAGGTCCTCAGTGCCCGGTGCCCTGCAGGAGAGGCACGTGCCATGGGGCTCGTAACGGGAGTGTGTTCCGGCTGCTGGTGGGAGGGAGGGCGAGGACCTGGGAGCTGAGAGGAGGAAGTAGGGGTGAGGGTGGAGAGGCCGTTGGAGGCCAGTCCTGGGTCCCCATGAGCAATCCAGGCTTTATCCTTCGGGAATAGACCAGGGTGTTTTTGAGCCTGTGTGCCTGGGTGCGTGCACACGTGTGTGTTTGGTGTGATCAGAGCTGTGTTTTGATGACACCCCTGCGGCTTCAGTGCGGAGAATGGGCTAGACAGAGGCCCTGGCGCCCGTGAGGGGCTGTGGCCTCACCCGGCGGGGCCGGACGGTGGGAAGGGACGGGTCTGAGGGGACGGGACAGACGGGAGGTGAGAGCGGAGGCGGCACCACAGCTCAGCCACCTTCCGCAGGGACAGTCTTCCCGGGAGGAAGGCGGAGAGAGAAGCCAATCGGGCTGGACGCTCAGCCTGGCCCCCAGGCTCCCGGGAGGGGTGGCGGCAGCCGGCAGCGCCTTCCCCTCATGTTCTGAACGCCTTCTCTTCCCTCCACAGGTGAGACGTGCCGCAGCTTCATCGATCTGGCCCCAGCCTCGGAGAAAGGTAAGCGTGGCCTCCTCCACGTGTGGGCCTCCCCCTCCAGGCACGGCCCCACCCTGGGGCTGCTGCCCTTTGAGATCCCGCCTTCAGACACCTGGCCTGGGCTCAGCCGGACCCCTGCAGGGCTGAGTTTCTCCCCAAATCTCTCCTGAAATCGCCATTGGTGAAGCTAGGAAGACTGTCCCGCCCTCCCTGCCTGTGGGCGGTGCTGACAGGAGCCACTCTCGTCCTGTCCAGGGCGCTGGGACTGTGGGAGCTGGGGTCATGTGTGTGTCCACGTGTAAGCGTGTGTGTGTGTGTGTGTGTGTGCACCGTGTCCGTGTACAGTGACAGGTGGCTTGCTGGGCCTCCTTCTGGAGACAGGACCTTTACTCCTGCTGCTTTTATGAGTCTAGGCCTGGAGAGGTTGTCTGGCTGTGTCTATAAAGATGCTCACCAGGAGGCTGGCTCTGCGGCCAAGCTGCTGAAAGCCGTTCATGGGCTCCTGCCTCTCCAGCGCTGAGCTGTCCTGGGGGTCAGCGGGGTTTGCTGGTGGCAGCACCTGTCCCCAACCTCCCGCTGGTCCCCCCCGAGGCTCCTGTGGGAGGGAGGCCTCGCCGTGACCTCGCCACACCGTCCACTCCACAGGGCAGAGACGAGCTGCTTGCTCAGGACCCAAGGGGCGTCCGGGCCGGTGCTGAGCCCAGGCGTGCTCTCCCACGAAGAACATCCTTCTCCCAGGCTCTCACCCTGCCCCTGCTGGCTCTGGGACTTCCTCCCGGCCTGCAAATGAGGAATAATCATGGCACAAGCCCTGCCTGGCTCCACGCTACGCTCACCACGTACCATGTGCCAATCTGAGAACTCCCCGCCCATTGGCTCACTTAATCCCCATTTTACAGATGATGAAGCTGAGGTGCAGAGCATATGATACCACGCCTGGGGGTGGCCACAGGCCTCAAGGGTGTGTGTGTGTGTGGGGGGGGGAGACTCGCCAAGGGCACAGCTGTTTCCTCTGCCCGGACTGCTCGTCAAGTCTCCCCAGCCATTGGCACCCAAAAGTGACTGTTCATCTCTCCAGAAGGGACCTGGGCGTTTGGGGGCGGTAGCAAACCTTCACTCCCTCGCCAGGCCCCAGGGGCGCCTCTGTGAGCAGCCAGGGTACGCTCCTGGGCACCCACCACGTGGCCAGCTCCGGGCTGGGCGTTGGGGAGCAAGGGCGGAGGAGGCGTGAGGCCGGCCTGCTTGGGCGGGGCCGGCTACACATAGGGTCCAGCACGGTGCCCCTTTGCCGGACAGGGCGGCCCCTCACATCCCTGCCCAGAGCCCATGAAGACGTTTGGGATCCTCCCGTTGTTATAGTAACCAGATTCCTCAGCAACCATTTGCCAAGGTGTGAAGTTCCCGGTTCCTAAGCCCCAGGTGGGAGCTTGTCCTCACGGGTAGATGGACTCTCACTGGGAGCGAATGAAGAATGGAGTGAATGAATGAGTGAATGAATGAATGAGTGAATGGATGGATGGATGGATGGATGGATGGATGGATGAATGAACGAGCTCCTATGATTCAGAGTTGCTGCCAGGCTGCACTGCAGCATCCTCATTGCAGTCCCCCAGTGCCCGCCAGCACGGTGGAGACCGCGTAGCACTGAGATCGAACCGTGTACCACCGCCCCCAGCAGCACGGACGTTGACAAAAGAAGCCCAGCTCAAAGGCATGCACGCTCTGTGATCCGTGTCTGTGAAGCGGGCGCAGGCAGTACCAGTCTCCGCTGTTCCAAGACAGGCCGGCGGCCGCCCTGCAGAGCGGGCGTGGCTGAGGCCGGCGCGCGGGGGCTCTGGCAGCAGCGTGCTCGGTTCCCCGATCCGGGTGCCGGCTACACGGCTGTGCTCAGTCCGTGATCCGGGTGCGGGTTGCACGGCTGCGCTCAGTCCGTGGTCCGGGTGCCGGCTACACGGCTGCGCTCAGTCCGTGGTCCGGGTGCCAGTTACACGGCTGCGCTCAGTCCGTGGTCCGGGTGCTGGCTACACGGCTGTGCTCAGTCCGTGATCCGGGTGCTGGTTGCACGGCTGTGCTCAGTCCGTGGTCCGGGTGCTGGTTGCACGGCTGTGCTCAGTCCGTGGTCCGGGTGCGGGTTGCACAGTTGTGCTTGGTCCGTGCCAGCGCCTCAGGCTGCGCACCTGCCGTGTGCGCACTCTCTGTATGGACGTGTGGGATACATCCATAAAAAGTGGAGAAAAACTTCCCCACCCTGCGTTCCTGTCATCTTTTGGAAATGAAAATCCTTTCATGGCTCCCAGACTCACCCAGGACAGTTTAATGCAGCGGGCATGGCCCTCCGAGATCCAGGGCTTGTCACTCCACCTTTTCTGATCCATGACATGGACCTTGTGCCCCAGCTCTGCCAGGGGTCCCACTTGCATGCAGACCCCTCTCCCCAAACTCTCCATCGTCTCTCGTGCCCCTGTGCCTTTGCACATGCTGTGTCCTCTGCCTGAACTGCCGTCACCACCTTGCAAACTTCTATGGATCCTTCAAAACCCGGCTTAGACATGACCTCTCCTGAAATGCCACCCGAACCTCAGAGGTACCCACTGTGACCTGTCCGTTAGCACCCGTCACACTGTGTTGAGGCCATCCCCTCCAGCAGGCCGGACGCTCCTGAGGACAGGCACTGGCTCTTGTCCTTCCTGCGGCTCCCAGGCCCCAGGTAGGTTGGCACACAGAATTTAGTGAGGGTTTGTTGAATGAATGAATGAATGAAGAAGGAACAGGGCCACGTTACAGACTCGAGATAGCTCATTTGGGGTCAAACACGGGGACCCTGATTCTGAAGCCACAGCCCGCTCCCACCCCCCTGAGCTGAGGGTGTGTTGAGCCATCCGGCTCCCTGCCCGTGGCTCTGGGCGCAGGGGTTTCTGGCAGCCGCCAGCTGCCAGTTTTTGTGGAACAATCTCCAGAGCTTGTAGGTTCATCTGTTTGACGGCGCAAGGCCGTGTAACAAGGTGGCGGCTCCTGGCCACCGTCCCGCGTCTGCCTGAGTCGTTCCTCACTCCAGCTTCTACCACGGTCTCTTGTTGGTTCCCTCCACCTCTCCATTCTCTGTCGGAAATCTATTTACAGTCCTGCTGCTCACTTAATTTATTTAGTGCATTTTATCGATTTATGCCATGGAACTGAACGTGCATAGCTCAGAACACGCTGAGCAGGGGAGGGGGTGGTAGCCACCAGCTCCCTCGGCCGCCCGGACTCTGATGTGGGAGCGACGCATGGGCCTGCCCGCCGGCTGCAGCCCGCACGCGTGGGGGCCGGGCGCCCTGTGCCTGCGCGTCCGTCCCGGGCGGTCTCTCACCGCTGGCTGCCCGGAGAGCTCTATCCGCTTGCAGGAGCCAACCGCAGGCCCTGGCTCATCAAAGCCCCCCCTCACCTGCAGGCGGAGCCGGTGACGCCCGCTCTGTGCTCCCAGGTCACCGAGGAGCTGCCTGTGGTCCAGGCCTGACAGCACGGGAGCTCTGCCTCCTGCATCCCAACAAGACAGACGGTGCAGGTCCCAGCAGGAGCCTGGTCCCTGCTCCCGCTCCCCTGCCCTCCCGCCCAGAGGGAGGCAGCTCTGGCAGCCGCTGGCGGAGGGGGACTGTCCGTCCCCGGCTGGCCCTGGCCCGTCTGCGGGGCGGCCGCGCGGGGGCCCTCCCGCAGGAGATGGTTTCCGGCCGGTGCACCGGCTGTGCGGTGAGTCCTCGGAGGCGGGTCGGACGGCCGTCCTGCTGCAGGAACGGGCTGCAGGCACCTCCGCCGCCTCGCCGCAGGCCAGCGGTCAGCATCTCCTGCCCGGCGCGAGCCAGGAGCCCGGACCGGACCCAGGAGAGTCACCGGCAGCGTCTGCTCTCGAGGAGCCTCCTGGTGGGGGCAGACAGGAGGGGGAGGGCCGCCTCGCTGAGCGAGGGCAGAGGGCTGTGCGGAGGGGGCCCCCTGGGGGCGGTCCGGAGGGGGAGTGGTCCGGAGGGGGAGTGGCATTCCGTCTCCGGGCTAGGGGCTCCGGGGAGGCCAGTCCTGCAGACCGAGTGGCAGCTGCACAAGAGTGAGCCCCGTGCCCTCAGTGCCGGGCCCGGCAGACGTGCCTTGGACGTTTACTGAATGACAGATGTGTAGGAGGAAAGTCGAGACCAGAGAGGTTAAGTGCCTTGCTCAAGGTCACACAGCAAACGTAAGAGTCAGGCTCCAGGCTCCCGAAGGCTTTTAAAGCAGCACCTGCTGGTCCTGAGAACTCCCCCCCATCCTGCCTCACCCCCACTCCTTCCCTCCTCCCTCCGGCCTCCTCCCTCCCTCCGAAGTGCCGGTTCCGGGTCCCTCTAATTACACGCTCTCCTGAGAGGTGATTGAGCCGCTCCCCCCGGCGCAGTGCTGCCCCGGAGATCACACAGCTGGTAATTGCTCTCGTTGCTCTGATTCCAATTATTGAAGATGGTCTTTCCACGCAATTAGGTGCCGGCCGTCCCACCTCCGCACTCTCAGGGCGTCTGCTCGGCCACGATGGCGGCCAGCCCACACGCCTCCTCACGGAGCAGTCCTCCGAGCGGAGGCTGAGCGAACAGCGGTCACCGAAGCCCGAGGGCTCTGTGTCCCCGCCCCGCGGGGGAACCGCGCGGGGTCCGTCTGCGGGGCTGCGGCAGCGGGCGGGGCGGGACTGGCCGAGCGGAGGCCGAGGAGCTAGAAGGATGCTCCTTCCCCATCCCAGCAAAGCCCTCCCGGCCGATGCCTCCCGATCCCTCCTGGATCGGGGTTTACAACAAGTCCGTGTGGCCAAGGCCCTGTGTTCCGAATCTAACGGCCTCCACCTCAGACCCTGGCGATGCTCAGGTGTTAGACGCAGACACACCAGGGCCCCGCGCACAGCGCAGGCCGCCGGCCGAGGCTCCGCCCCGGCTCCGCTGAGGCCGGTGTGACGGCCTGGGCTGGGCGGGCACGCCCTGCAGGACTGCACTGGGGGCCAGGGAGACAGGTGATCACACTCACCTAACCACACC